CTTGTTTAGTACTCTAAAAGGGTCACGGGCACTTAAAAAACCTTCCAAATTTATTTTTATTATTCATAAAATCATGTCACTCGATACTATAGAATCCATGCAGCCTACGAAATTAATAAAATGTTACTAAATAAACAAAAAAAAATAGGTCAGAGTAACAATCATACTTTCTTATATTATTTACCTTATATGAAATATGACCTGGATGTCTCTGTGCGTTTATTCTGTTTGTGTTGTTCTGTGTGTAGGTAGTGGTCTTGCGACTGGCTGATGCCCCGTCCAAGGCGTCCAAGGAGCTCTATCAACTATGTACAGATTAAGAATCTCAGAAAGCGGCCAAGTTCCACAAATGCTATAGAACCATAGACAGACAGATAGAATGTGACTTGGAATAGCTGAGTCAGTAAAGTTATATGCTATGGGATGAACTATCTGGGTTCAATTCCCGCATGGTCTTTCTTCATCGGTACCGATTCCTGACCGGTATGGCCCACTGAACTTCCCAATCAGTGGGTGCCAGGGTGAGTATGGGTGCTGATTTCCACCCATTGCTGTGGCAACGAGCGCGTGGAGTTTAATTCCAGTCCCTCATGGGTCTCAAAAGTGCAATTTTTAAGCCAAGAGACAACTTCAAATGTACCTATTGTATAAGGTATGTGTATACCTTACAGTCCAGATTTCCCCTTAATGTGACCTAACAAGGGTAACGCGGTACAAGCTTGCAGCTCATTCTCTGACGTGTCTTGGGGTGGGGTGAGACTGAGTCCACTTGGTACGTGGGCCACTAATTGACCTATTGTACCAGCCCCGGATAGATGATGAATGTGGAGCAGTCGGTAGAATGAGAATTAGCAGGGGAAACCGAAGTAATAGGAGAAAACCTGCCCCAATACCACTTTGTCCACCACAAATCCCACATGACCTGAGATGAACTAGAACCCGGGACGCAGCGGTAGGAAGCCGGGGACTAACCGCTGAGCTATGGCACGGCCACAGTCTTAGTAAGTCTCTATAAAGTGAGGTAGGACTGATTAGGTTCGAACAGGGAAAAAAGCTGATCCAAATTGCACTTAAAACTTTTACAGAAAAAAAATTGTAGAGCGGGCTTAAAGACGACAGTTATAACAGAAATGCCCCTTGACTAAATTTTAGAAAAAATCGACAGCAACTTATATTAAGGTAACAGAGAGCAGATGCACTTCTCACCTTCACTGCGGAAGCTTGCAGATTTCTCCACGTGACATAGTTCTAATAGAGCAGTTCTAAATATGCTACCTCTCTTAAAACCTCGATGGTTTAACGTACGTCCAAAGTATTTTAAACTACCCTGCATTACCCCTTCCTTATATATATATAAAACGGTCGATCTAATATCTATTCGAATCACGCACGCTGGCGAACATGACTTCAACTGCTTCCACTAACAGTGGCAGGGAACCGCCATAATAAATAAAGCAGTGGAACTGAACAGCAGGAAAAGGCGTCGGGAGAATGTTAAGTAGATCAGATAGACGGACAGGAACACGGAACGAAGGCAAACCGCTTTTATAAATTTTCACATACAACAGCTGAAATACATATCATCCTCTTTCCCAAGTAAAGGTAAATAAATATTTCTTCAGAGGCGTCGTTTTTCTCCTGCTATACTAGTAATTTAAACATTGCTAATCAATAATATTATAATAATTATGAAATAAACAAAAAACAAACAAACTCCGTGGTTTTAGTCAGCAAGTGAACTATACCGACCGAGAGGGTGCCGCGTGGTCATCGCAACGAATCCCCACGGCTTTTAATTTCGGTTTTCTAGACCGCAGCCGCTGTTTCCTTGAAATAGCTCCCCAGTTATCCCCATGAGGCTTAGTGGACCCCGTTCCAGACCCACTACTTCTCAGAAACCCGGGACCTCTGGATCTGTAGCCAGCAATTCTGAACACTAGACCACAGAGGCGGTCAGATTGTATTGTATTTGGAGAGGGTGGGTTTCCCCATGCACTTAGACCAACTGTTGGTCCATTGTGCGTCCCCCTATGATATTCTACCCGTCTCTATTCCCTACCGGTACTGGTGCGTGCCATCAGTCCCGACTCAGCCAGCGAGTTCGGCCTCTACTGGCTCAGCGGTATCTCGATGCTTCCCCTATCTACCAGAGGCGTTAGAGACTACTGTTGGGCGGGAAATGTCCTGAATTTGGCTCAGTGGTCCCCTTGGGACATGAGGTTCTTTTACGTGCCGTAAAGCTACGACACGGGACCCACGGCTTAAAGTACCTCCCGGAGGACTTGTTCCCTGAATTTTTCCGCCCTTAAAAATTCCACGACCTCCGCCGGGTTTGAAACCGCGTACCTTGAGTCACGAGGTGGGAACGTTACCCCTAGACTACGGAGGCCGCTGAGGCGGTCAGATACTTATTATAAATCCTCTTTCATTTACGGAGTATCAATGAACAGCCAAGAAATATAGGAGAATATAGCATAAAGTTCGTGTGCAATTATGTAAACAATTTATTCTTTTCTTATGGTATGCATATATGATGTAGGAAAAGTTCAATAGAGTTTGGAACATGATGCAATTCTCGGCAATATTATGACTTTGTTGAGAGCTGAAACCTCCCGCAGCAGACAGCACCGGAAGAGAAGAAATATAAATTAGCTTTTCAGACATGTTCCGGTACAGTAGTTGAAAAGGTTAACGTTATACAACTTTCTTATTTCAAAAATAAACAGATATTTTGACGAGTTGTAGATTTTCACATATGGAACTCAAAGAAATTGAAGAAAAGGAAGAGAAAAGCATATATTAGATGCTTCGAATATATTCTTGTGTACAATATCTCAAGTCTGGGACGTGACATGAATCGGGTGTACACGTAATAAATTTTTCCAGTAGACCATCAGGAGTTGTGACATATATAGATGAATGTATAAAACACAGCGAAGGGAAACCCTCCTTTACATTGACGCTATCAACTGTATGTGAGTGAGAAATGTTTTTCTGTCGACTCAAAGCTTTAGTCGGATAAAAATTATTGCCACTTTCTTAGATGAGCCTTGGCTGCAGGCACTTCGTCACTAGGGATGGCAGCCACAACCCTCTTATTACACATCTCTTTGCCTGCTACAACGTGTGCTCACCGAACACAGCCTTCTAAACTCAGCTCTATGCAGAAAACTATTCATAAATATTCGTTAACGAACATAACCAAGGTTTTACTAGCCTTTGTCACTTCTGTATCAGTATCCCACTGTCTCGTGTGAAATATATTTCACGCTGCAAGCATGAACCAATGTGTTACTGTCATTCTCTGCCTCTATGCCTACTCTCTTACATCCTGCACGCGTTTACTGGCTGTTCTTAACAGCATGATCATTGGTTTTAGTCGAATCCACTAACTGAGATATAAGGACTTCAGGGCGTGTATAGTTTGTAACAAAGCCTAAGTTACAGTATATCACCCTCCCCCAATGCAGCTGCAACCACAGTCTAGAAACTTATTTCTCTCACGCCAAACGCAGAAGCGGGACATAAAAACATCGCCTGTACATCTCTATTTGTCCATCTGACCGGCTATCCATCCATCCAAACTTTCAGTCCATCAATTTATCTACCTGTCTGCTTCTATTTCCTGCATGCACCTACTTGTCCATCTGGCTAAGTCTATCTACCTATCTTCCTTTCTACCTACATACCCACGTCATGTGGCGAAAATCAACCTGGGGCGTACCGAAATATCTTGGGTCGTCCGAGGTAAACAATATATGGTCCCACTCTGGTATCTTAAACATACTTCTGAAGTTTCATTTCTTACAATTTTCTCTGCATTGATAAGGTACACCCCCCACCCTAAACACACACACTACAAAAAAAAACTCCGTGGCCTGTAGTCCGCAAGCCGACCGAGCGACCGCCACTTGTCGGCGAAGTTAGTGCCAACTTTAGCGGATAGAGGGTGTCGTGTGGTCAGCGCAACGGATCCCCTCGGCCGCTAATCTCGGGTTTCTAGACCGGAGCCGCTATTTCCTTGAAATACCTCCTCAGTTATCCTCACGAGGCTGAGTGGACCCCGTTCCAGGCCCACTACTTCTTAGGAAAAAATCTGGTAGCGTCGGGAATCGAACCCTGGACCTCTGGATCTGTAGACAGGAACTCTGACCATCAGATCACAGAGGCGGTCTCTCTCTCTCTCTCTCTCACACACACACACTCACTCACTCACACTCTCTCTCTCTCTCTACGGCCATGTTAAATTATATAAATGAATAATAGTAAATATTTCTCTTTCTTGGGGTTATTTTACGACTGTCTCAGTATTTAGACTGTAGGGCATATAGCGTACAATGACAGGATGAATGAAGTCATCAGCTGAGAGGACTGAAAGGAAGAGGTCGTGACCTAACCGATGTACTACGTCGGCATTTGCCTGGGGAGCGTTTATCTTATTAAACAGAAGTTCATTATAAAAAATGCGGCGAGTGCTGAGCTTCACGCCCTTGCCCTCTTACCTCCCGGGGAAAGGGCCACCGGTACCCATTAGATAGGAGGCTAGAGGAGCCATACAAATAAATATACAAAAACTGTCGACCTGATATAATCACAGCAATTGATTGAAGTCTTTGACTAAACTAAGAATAAATGAAATATACAGGAAAACTAACATATACTTTCAAAGTAGCAGTTATTTTTTAAGTACTGTAATCATAAAACTACAAGACCTGTCGGTGACTGAAGGGGTCCTAATTGCTAGAGACGTGGCAAATACGAATATCACCACGCTAATGCTATTGCAACGAATCTATCATGCTTTGAAACAGCAGTAAAATAACTTCAAGCATTCGACCATTATTAACCTCCAAATAAATGCTACAATATTATGAGATTTGAGGTTAGCAAGGTTGTGAAAATTTATGTTCAGTTCTTTTGAGTAAAGATACTGTGTAGTACGCCGTGCCATAACCTAGAAGACTACAGTCTATATTTATAACATTAATTGGTCATCTTACCTTAACTGTCCGCCTCCTCTGTAAAAAAAGCCTGAATTTGTCAACTTTTCAAGCACTTCGGAGAAACACTGTCTCGTACAGAATACACACAGAATGTTAACATCAGGCCGAAACTAACGTAAATAAAACTTTCTATTACTGAAAGGAATAGTAATAATCAGTATGGCGAATACAATCAACGACTACGGCACTGAAACTTCCTTTATTCTGAAGCATGGCCAACGGCCGTAATAGCTTCCGGAACTCTCTGGCGTTAAAACGCATTAACCGGGCCATACTACGTCAGCTGTAATACGATACAGTATTGGTCACATCGGCGAATCTGACATATATATATATATATTACTGAACAACTTTCCAGGGTACTCACTGTATCTGATATTCCAATATCCTCAGTGCATACTTACTTCTGGAGCTCAGCCCTTCTTGAGGAGAAGCTAAATTTGCAGCTACTCAAGAATTTCCCAGCATTTTATGGAACCCGAAGGTTCATTACCGTGTTCACAAGAGACCTCCACTGGTCCGTAACCTGAGCCAGATGAATCCAATCCATACCATCCCATCCTGTCTCTCTAAGAACCATTCTAATATTGTCCACCCACCTAGGCCTGGTTCTTTCCAGTGGTCTCTTTCCTTCTGGTTTTCCCACCAATATCCTATATGCATTCCTCTTCTCCCCCATTCATGCTACATGCCCTGCCCACCTCATCCTCCTTGACTTGATCATTCTAATTATACTTGGAGAAGAGTACAAGTTATGAAGCTCCTCATTATGCAGTTTTCTCCAACCTCCTGTCACATCATCTCTGTTCAGTCCAAATATTCTCAACACCCTGTTCTCAAACACCTTCAGTCTATGTTCCTCCCTTAATATCAGAGACCAAGTTTCACACCCATACAGAACCACAAGCAAAATTATAGTTTTGTATATTGTAATTTTTATGTTTTTGGACAGCAGATAAGAAAACAAAAGGTTCTGGACTGAATGGTAGCAAGCTCAGTGCATACACAGATCCCTAAGTGTTTGCGGCACAATACAATAATACAAATATATATAATTAAAGAATACTCTTGTTCCATTTGTATGTTGTCTTTCGTAACAGTGAACCACAATTTACATTGCCATGTATATTGACATGGATAGCCGGACACGTGACAATTTGGTTCACCTGTCACAATATGATGAACGATGATGACACGGCTCTCTCTTGAAGACCATCTCATCATGCCAAATATTTCTTCATAATTTTCTCTAATCACATGACAAAATTTGATAGTATCCTTGTGATACAGATTCAGTTCTTGTCGAGTACTTTTCACGCAGTCCAAGTACTTTACAGAAGCTAATATGCTATAGTTATGCTGAAAAATTCTCTTTCACAAACTTATCTCTTAATGGGATTGTAAGTCATTTGTTGTGTACAACAGATGTGGATGTCGGGAGTTTAATCCCACTAATTCTATCAAGCATAAAAGCAGTATTTAATGTACCAACATAAGAAATTTTAAAAATAATATGAGAAGAGACTACTATTATGTCTACACAACATATTCCAAAACATGACACTTATGGGGTCTGCTGGTGTGTGTGTGTGTGTGTGTGGGGGGGGNGGGGGGGGGGAGTGCACAATAATATACTGTGGAAACCTCATATAAAGACCTAATCTAACCTAAAGTAACCTAACATGATACAACACAGGCCACTTACTCGAAGGTCTGTTGGAATGCAGTGAAGGGGCAGGCACCGAGTATTCTACTACACAAACCTCATCTGACTACCTAATCTAGCCTAACGTAATGCAACCAAGGACACTCACTGGATGGTCTATGGTTGTGTGGTTGGGGGGGGGGAGATATGCAGTAGCATACTGTTCACACCTCACTGGATGACTTAACCTGACGTAATACAACCCAAGACTCGATCTCTTACGTTTAGCCTAACATTAAGGTGAGCCCTTCTTCTGATCCAATGCCATCTCCCCTCTGGATTTCTTCCTTCCTTAGATGATCACCGACCAAACTGATGAGTTCATTGAAATATTTTACTTGCATTTGGTCAAAATTAAAAAAAAAAAAGTATCCAGCTGTTCACAAAATTTCCCATGCAGTAAATGAAAGTGGTCTTATTTTATCTTTTGCAATTTAAATGATGAATCGAATACTTGTAACATTCTTTCCTTTCCTCTTCGAAACAAGAAGGGCTATAATTTCAATGTGAGTCAGCAGTGTGTACTACTTTCATGATACCTATACGTGTATGTGTAAATGAACTGAGAGGATGCTACAGAAGAAATGCTGATGTAGCTGGTCACTCAGGCAAGTGACACACTCCTTCTGATGCTGATGTAATTGTGTCCTAAGATATCTCATCACAGGGGCAAGCTAATGATAAAGCAGACCAGGCAGAAGAATGCTCCTCTCAAAATGAACTGAAGCCTTGGCTGGAGGTCAGTTGCAGGTCCAGCTGGGACAAGTGGAGGAAGTCATCTCAGGAGAAGTCATGTCCGCTTGTCCTTCAAATCTCTGTGTCAGCAGTACTTGCTGTGCAAAACAGATGCTTCCAAGTGATAAAATGCCTCCTCATGCATGGGAATGATCTTACTGATAAAACTACTATATATAATTCATAACAATAATTTAAAAATCTTGATATATTGAATTATTAGGCTTCTTTTCAAATTCATATTCACATACTGTTAAACGTTTCCTACCTAAAGAAAAACATTGTGGTCACTACTATAGTTAGAAAAATTCCCCCTGAGTTTGTATTTACTCTGTTATAAATTTGTGGTTTGAAACACACATGAAGGAAGCTGAAATAACACAGAACATACTGACTCTAACAAACTGTTGCATGTTTCAATGCATGTAGTGAAGGACAGAATAAAGTACCACAGGAATAATAACAAATTTCACTATTTTAACTATCTAATAAATTTAACATTTAAGATTTTAATCTTTTAATTCCTTGCTTATTATTGTAGAAATGCTTAAAGTAACACCACAACAAAATTCATAAAAGTTTAAGACAGAAAAGTTATAACAGATTGGTGTACAAGTGTGAACAAAAATTTTGCTCTCATGGGATTCTATTCCCTTCAGAACTGATCAAAGATATACTAGTAGTATATCATAACACAAATAATCAAAGAATGAAGGCAGTTCCACATGTCATAATGAGACTGCACAGTAAATTTACTGTTATATGACTATTATGACAGAGATCCCTTTGACAAACAAACCATTAAAATTGCTGACCATACTACACTGATAGAAGGAAAACATTTGAAATGAATAACAGCAAGCAAATCTCTCACACAAAAGCTTCAAAGAGAAGTAATTATTTAACATATACACTACAAACCACCCAAAAAAGGACAGTTTTGTAAACAGAAGGTGGATATATTATAGTAAGTTTTAACCACAATTTCTTACAATAACACTGAGTGTTATTAAAATAACAATCTTACTGTTATGATAAGAGTGACTGTAGATGGGTTCTGGATCGATGACCATATTTATTGCACACTTTTGTATGCGACGTGTGACTAATGCCTTGCCATAGCTCAAGTGGTTAGTTGCTAGCTTCCCACAGTGGCGGCCTGGGTTTGATCCCGGGTCTGGTCAAGTGGGATTTGTGGTGGACAAAGTGGTGCTGGGGCAGGTTTTCTCCAAGTACTTTGGTTTCCCCTACCAATCTTCATTCCACCAAATTCTCCATCATCATAATCACCCGGGGCAGGCTACAATAGGCCAATCAGTGGCCGCCATGCCGAGTGGACCCAGTTGGACTCCACCCCCACCAAGCGAATTAAAGAAAAATGTATGACTACATTTTACAGTACACTGTTACACATACATCAGTGTCCACAGTCACATCTTCCTTGTTGTTTCTTGGTATCATCTTCCAATGACAGACGTTCCCCTTTCTCTGGCTTCCTGAACTGTCCCTGGCCTCAGCTAGCAGCTTCTAACAGCAACAACTCACAACAACTGAACCGCAGCAGTGATCTAACTAACTCACTAACTCACCAACTGACTCCTCACTAACTTGTCCTGCTTATAACATCTTGGTACAGACCACACAGAAAACACCATCCTCTGTTATTATGCAATTATTGTGTTTGTGTCTGTTGAGGTACCCACATGATCGCTACTCAGCTATTGCCTAGCAACGGTCATTCTTTGCAAGCCATTACTTAGCAACGGATGTTGTATAGTTACTTATTTCATGGCCACTACCTAGCATACCACATTATGTTCTCCTTCTGTCAGTGTTTTGTGACATCAAACTTCAGTGAAAAAGTTCCCCTTCTTCTGCCAGAATAACATACAAGTTATGATAAAGAACACATAAAATACTGGATATAAAAATGTTGCTGCTTATACAGAGTATATGTTAATGACACAATAAACTGCAGTGACATACTGAAAAGTAATTTAATAAAAAAGTGAAAGCATGGTGTAAAAATGTGTTCTAATCAAGTTGATGAAAGTTGTCCCATACCTATATAAATACATAAAATACATNAACCTTCAGAGCCGCTTATATCTTGGTTGCAGGCAGAACCCGTGTGTTAATATTTCTGTGAGAATAAGTATTTTGCATTACAGCTGAGATGTTCAGAAGCAGTATTCAGGTACATGACACTGCAAAGCACATGGAACTGTACATCCTAACCATTTTTAAAAAAATTTGCTTAGTGGTGGGTGGAGTCCAACTGGGTCCACTCAGTACAGTGGCCACTGATTGGCCTATTGTAGTCTGTCCTGGGTGATTATGATGATGGAGAAGTTGGTGGAATGCAGATTGGCAGGGGAAACCGAAGTACTCAGAGAAAACCCATCGCAGCGCCACTTTGTCCACCACAAATCCCACTTGACCAGAACATCCCAACCATAGCGAACTTCCAAAACTGAGAGCCCATGGACCATCATATTCAAAGTGAGAAATAATCTTCTTTCTCTCTAATTGTCATACAAATTAAGTGTATATGTAACGTGAACACCGAAAGATAACAATAAAGTTGACATACAACTGTCAATGTTGTCATAGCATGGATAAAGTAGGCATGTCGGTCACAGTCACAAGAATGCTAAAAGTCCAGAAACTAGTGGTGCAGTGTTCCTTTGCAGTTCTCAAAATGGGTGTCATAACTTCTTATACATTTACCTAAGAAATATAATAACAGATAACTGGCTTGGAATTAAAAAATCAGGTAGCAGGTAAATGGATAACTGAAAACGAACATACTATAAGAAGATTCAATCGCAGTCACTCCAGGCACAAATAACGGGAAAGAATGGTTTCCTATAAGCTGTAATACTACCTCAATGTGGTGGGAATGTTTGCATGTTCTGATCACCTGGACAGCTTAAACTAATGGAACAAGCTCCTGGTAAGGTGACCCATGCTAGACAGGTCAAAGGGCAGGAGGAAGATGATATGTAGCCCCTGGTCCTCCAGGCTGATGGCCGGGCATAAGCCTAACAATCTCACCTTGGAAAACCATGGAAGCCAGATGAGACAATAGTGGGAATCTACTGCAAAGGAGGCTGAGGTTCACAGAGGATCAAAGAGCCAAGAAGTATGGCATAGCATAGTCACATAAGACTGTAGAAGAGATGCCAACACTAAACAGCCAGATGTGAAATCAGAAACTAGGTCAAATTCACAATATACAATTCTTCTCATAGAGAAGAAAAATGGACCAACTTCTGTCATGCATGAACTGAAGAAGTATTCTCCTATACTTTTTTAATGAACATGTCTTTGACAGCATAACAGAAAATAATATTTTAATATAATAATAGTATGTTGATTCTGACTTTTACTCATGTGTGAAATACTATGTAGGATTTGTGGGTCTCACAGCAGTGGTTATAAAGAGTACTGTTTTCTAAGATATAATGCCTTGCAGTTATACACAGCTATGTAACTACAGGAATTATATACAAGAAGACAGTACTTTTCATATATGAGATAGTTTATAAAATCATTTCTGATACGTTGTATTTCTATCAAAGTAAATTACACTTTCATGCATGCCGCACCCAAAAATGTGTAATAAAAGAATACAGTTGTGCAACAACAGAATGAGATCTGGCATAGATACAGATTAATATATACCACTGTGAACTATACAACTCATAAATGTACTTTTTGAACATGCAAACAGAAATGCAGACGTATTCAAGGATGGAAGTGCAATAGAATGGCTCAGCCAATTACCTACATTTACTTCTTTACTCTGTCATTTGCATATGATCAAGCCAACTCAGAAACACAGAAGCAACAATCATCATTTATTACTAGTAAAAGCAATAGATATGACATAAATTTGATGTCATCATCTCAATAACATAGAAAATGTATCTAAAATTACATTAACTGTGTCAAGAGTTTACATAACTTGTATTCCTGTACTTCATATAAGTGGACGGAATACTAATAAGACACATATTACACAATTCTGGCAAAGCGATTCTAAAAATACAATATATAATTATATTCGGTGAGTACTTTTGATTTAGTTCAGGTCACTTGAGGAGAAGAAAAAATCCTATACAAGATGTAAAAACTGCAAGGTTTGGCAAATGAGATCTACCTCCTCTGTTAATTCTGTTCCATTATACTCAGTGTTCTTTATGATATGTAGACACAGCAAAATTGAATACTGGATATGAATGTTGAATGGTTGTGTAACAACTGACATATAAAACATGTATCTCTTTTATTAGGTTGCATATTCTTAAAAGGCAAAAGATATTTAACTTATAATCTAATCTTCATAACTGTGTAATATATTGTCACCTTAGTTTTTAATGGTTCCATTTCCATATTCAGGGGAACAGAGAAAAAAGGACAACGTTTGAAACACAAATAGCTGAACAGAGAAAATGGACAAAAAGGATTTTTTTTTATATATAGTGCTTTTAATCTTATATTTCAGCATCCTGTTACACTCACACAATATATATGGATAAATACCGTCTTAAGTGCAACAAATTTTATTGTAGTTTTTACTTCTTTNTAATATATAGTGCTTTTAATCAGTTTAATTATGGATATATACATTTTATGCCCTATGAAATTAAATGCATTTATAACCTGGAAAATAATAAACAAATAGAGATGGAACCTTTAAGACGTAAGGTGATGATATCGCAATATGTTCAGACCATTTCTTTATTTTGAATTCTTGTTTTCACTGTTTTAATATGCATACTCAGCAGTTTCACTTACCTCCAGCTATTGCTGAAGCCAAGAAAATGTGGATCTATACATGCACTCTGTCATACGCTTTCATGACGAAGTGCTTCGTTAGTTAAGCACAGGGACAACTATACCTTACCTTATACTCAGCAGTTTCAGCACTTACATTAAATAAATAAAATGTAATATAAATAAATTAAATGTCACAATATATGAACTTATCATAGACTATACGAATCAGCTCTTTTAAGGAAACACACAGTTTTACAGCACCTTCATGACTTTACTAAAACCTAACAATAAATGGATCAGTACATCACATTCAAACTGGATATTTCCTTCATCATAGATTTGAATATATGAGAGGCACATGGAGGTAGGAAATACAAAATACATTTGCTGCTTAAAATGAGTTTTCATAAGACACATAAAATCCAATATGTAAAACAATATATCACTTCAAATTTTGTTGGCAAGCTTAATTCAAAACATTAAAATCATGCTTTGCTACCTAAGTTGCATACAAGCGAAAAGCTAAGACTTTTTCATATTATGAGGCATATCACAGTGCAACAAAAATACATTATTTGCTGCCTCTGTTACACAGATCAAGACATGTAAAAAGTTATATATAAAACAAAATAAAAAATAAAGAAAGAAACCTTGTTCAAAACAGAACAAAAATAAGTGCCAAATATCATTTTTGTAATCTTCTCAGAACCAAATGATTAATGTTCTGCTGATATGGAGGCAAACTAAGAAAGTTTCCAAATGTATCCATAGATGGTCACATGATCCTTACTGGTTTATTGTGCTATCTGTTAAAATGTAAACAGAACTTCTTGACAACGTTGTAATAATACCAAGAATCCTCCTCAACTTATTCTATGGAGTAAAGTCATTTTTGAGAAACTGACAGGCATTCAAATGATTAATAAATTTCCAGTTTACTTAGAAGGTTAAGAAACGTTAATGTAAATAATAATAACAATAATAATAATAATAATAATAATAATAATTTATAATTCTTTTGCAGGGACCCCACGGAAAACACGGTGTTTACAACTCCGTTGCCTNACAGTACACGAACAAATATAAATTTCATAACTTCCAGTATATAATCACACGTTTTGTGTCTGTGTATCACATTTCACTAATATTATACGTACTTCAATAAAATCTCATGAACATGTCATTTCTGCATTAGCAGAATAAAAACATTAATCTTCAAATGCTTGTTTTCATAAGTTATAGCTTATAACTTCCCTAGTTATAGCAATGGGTTTTGAAATCTACTACTCCTTCATGTACATACTTATACAGAAAAAAAATGATTATTTTATCTGATAGCAAGGAAATATTCAATTCTAACAGCCATTACTAATAATCGTGAATAGATGATTATGATAAATCCATTTTAATAGGTTGACACTATGATGAAAGCTGTACCTATATTACATACACCAACATAAACACTGATGTGATGTGGAAGCTGAACCAGTTATACCTGAGTCCTCAGCAGACCTGTACACCCAGCAAGATGTGATATGAAGCAGTTGGTCACAGGTTATGCAGGCTTCTGCTATGTGTGGCTGGAACAAGTGATGTAAGAGGGCGTTGTGACTGATCTGCAGAGATGCATGTTCCACCAGAAGTCACTCTCTGATGATCATTGAGTAACTGCACATCATGACCATAACTACTGTTCCTATAGAACACAATAATATAATAATTTCAGTGTGGTTATGATCTACTGGGATGTAAGGCTGTGTAGTTGGTAGATAAGTATCATGCTTCTTCAGAGGAACCCTCTGCCTCCATCTTCAGGCTACAGGCCATGTTTCTAGATGTGATCTCTAGGCTGACTGTCAGAAGTATGGAAAGAAGTACTAGGATAGTGGTTGCAACTGCACTGTGGGAAGGTGACCTTTATTTGAGTAACCCATACAAAGCCTGTAGTCCTTATCTCAGTTGGACTTGACCAGATCCACTGTATATTCTGTTGACAATGGCCAAGAGTAAAATTACGGACAGTATATGCTGTCACATTCCAGAAAACCAAATAATAATAACACTCTTAGAACGTCTAATATCACTGAACCCTGTCCTTTCAGATAGAGAAAAACACTAAGTACTTACCTAGAATATCTAACCACATCTTTTCATTATTCTTTATTACACATTACTAAAAAGGAAAAGTTGTGAAAACAGTGAAACACACCACACTGCATCTTTTGCTGTTAAAGATCATGGGGTTTATGCATCATGTGTCCTGTTGCTGGTCATTTGGGAATTCATCCACAAAAACTACAATTATCTCTACACAATTATTGTTTACTTCCTACCACTATAACAGAAGGTTCCTTTCCAGTCTTCTGTCCATTAGATAGCGTACAAATGCACAATTTAACGAAAGATTGCATTTGGCAACAGAAGTATACCTAATGTAGGTGGAGAAAACAATGCAACCAACTGACATACACATAAAGTATCATGTTAAATGGCGTCTGTATTTTACAGGTAATGAAAACAAGCCTAAAATCACAGAGGCAATCAGTTCATGACATCTTTTGCAAAACCGTGACTTAGTCAATCTTCTTGTTTACTGACAGCAAAATGTTTATGAGTCACTTGTTTTAGAAAAGAAAACAAATTTATAATTGTAAGATGGCCTTACCGAACTTGAGTGCTGTGCTCCCGCTTCAGTAATTCTTCATCTGTTGTAAATAGGACAGTCCTGTAAGGAACTTTAACTGAAGTCTTAGAGATACCTGTGACCTTGTCAAGGACACCATTGTACACCAACAGATCATCTACAAGAATCTGTCAAAGAGAGATTATTTAATTAAAAGTTCACATATGGATCAGTGACTCCCAAATGGTGGTTCACAAAACCCTTGGAATTACATGACATGTTTCATATAGTATGGCAAAATAATGTCAATCAGAAATGAAAAGTTCAATGGCAGATATTTCGTATAGCAATAATATTTTAAAGCAAACTCAAAATATAAAATGTCTTCAGTAGTGCTATTTTAGAAGAAAATACAGTGTAACCCCAATTATCTGTGGCTTACATGTGTGCCATTTTAAGTGCATTCACAAACCTGCACAGTATCTATTAAGTTTCCTTAGTCTGTCTGTCCGTCTGTCTACCTGTATCCATGAAGCAGTTGGATAAATTTTCATGAAATCTGACAGGTCATTTTATGATAAAGTGTACCAGGAATATTCTTGGGGGTAAAGGGCGGCTGATGCGTGGGGCTGACAACCTTTCCGCTATCTATGAGCCAATTGTCTAGAAAATGTGGGAACCTCAACATCTCACAACCCTATGGGCTTCCATGGCCTGTTACAGGGATACTTTTGCTTTACTTATTTACTTTTACTAATTATATTCTTCACTTTCCTGAAACTAAAGTAATATATGTTTTCAATATTTTGAAGGTCAAGGATCTTAAAAGATGTATGCTCCCCTTCAGTCACATCTCAGCGCATATGCCATTTCTTTTCCCCTTGAAGCAAATGTAGACAGCAAGAAAATTAGAAGCATCTGTATAACACAGTGTAGCCACTCCATGAAAACGTAACAGCCTTCAACAGCCACAGGAAATTTCTCAGCACACTCATTATTCAGCGTGGCCACATAGGAAATGTGAACACAATACAATATTTCTCCTGTCTCTTGCATAATCACATTTTCTTCCGCTGTTACTACTAAAAAAGAAAAGAAATCAATATTATACACACTCACCTCAAATTCCTTAACACCTCGGCTAGAAGTTTTCCCATAATTCCAAAGCTTTATCATGGACACAGTGACAGGGAAGTCAAACACTATGTACACTCGATTTAACTGGAATAAGACAAAATTGTTTAAGATCTGTGTAACTGAACAGTGTTCTCTCAAATAATATATCCCAAAGAATACATTCAATGAACAAACCGAATATCTGTAAACAGAACAGGTGCAACTGTTATTGTCTATTTAAAATAGTCACAAATGTGCCATAGATCAAAGAAATATAAAATCTCATGTCAGAATTGTGTGTTAGACACTCCAATTTGTGTTTCTCCGATAAAAAATATGAAGTTACCTGGTTTGGAAGAATGGGTGCCAGCCACATATGGCGACCATCCAAAGTGTCATTCACACCATCCACCAACTTCTCAGGCGTCCGTACATCACCACTCACTCCTTCGAGTACATTTACACTATCTGGAAATGCTCCAATATCTGGAATGAAATTGTTCATGATAAGGCATTCTACAAGATTATTCACTCAGAGGAGACCTTTAATTAATAATTTTATAACCATTACTCTATCCTGAACCTACTGGCACCCTAAAACTATACTACAACCAAGATATGAGGCAGAATGCCAATAGCACTTATTCTTCTGACTCATTTAATGTCTCCACCTTTCACCAGAAAAGCACTGATTACATAACTAGGCAACATTTACTCACATAAGTTTCTCAATTTTGTAGAAGAAACGTTTGAGAGAGCTTCAAATCGTGCAGAAAGGTGGTTCAGATAGTTAAAATCAGAACATATTTCACTCATTAATTCATCAGTAATCTGTCAAGACGACAGGTCCACAGTCTCTTCCAAAACAATTCCTCCACTTAATGCGATCTAGAGCTTTCTCCTTCAAATGAAAATATCCTCTTCTGTCCCCAAGGTCATCCAGCATCTTCTTACGTCTTCTGGTCACTTCTATCTGCCCCTCTATCTTTCCTTCAATACTTCTTTTAGGAGGCAGTTATCACGTAAGATATGACCAATCTAATTAGCCTTCCATTTTCTTATTTCGTGTAGGATATTCCTCTGCTCACTGACTCTAAATAACACTTCTTCATTTCTCATATAATTGGTCTAACTTATCTTCTCCATCCTTCTCCAACACCACATTTCGAAGCTTTCCAGGCATTTCTGATTGCATCCTGTTGTATATATAATATTTAATTTTCATTTGTATCATAACTGTCAACACAACACAATGAGTTGTATGGAAATATCTTCAATGGAGATAGTAGACTGTAATGTACATTTTATTTATTTATTACAAATATATTGTGGTCGAAATATGTGGCATAGCTATATTTCTAATAAATAAGTACAATGTACATTAACATCTAATATCTCCAGCGAAGATATTTCCATACCACTCGTGCTGTGTTGACAGTTATGATACAAATAAAAAACAAAAATTAATAGTTGCTTAGCCATCCAAGAAATTCCCCATCTTTCTGGAATCTGAAGGTTCATTACCATATTCACAACAGCCAGCATATACACTGCATGTTTGAGCTCACTGCTACACTGTTCAGGATCTCAACAAGAACTCTTCCATGGAGTTAATTAAGCATTAAAATTATGATTCTCATGAAAGAAAGAAATGCATGTTACTAAGCAATATTTACAAAATATCTGAAAGATCACTTTTCTTATTCATGGAATGGGTGATACAGTCTCATACTCACGATTTTCTGTCAGTCTTATCTTGTCTCCATCCTGATTGTAAAGTTCTATTCCATTGAGCCCCACATAGTATGGATCCCCCCATGTTGAGAGTATTAGTAACTGGAACACAAAGCCCTGGGGCATCACTGGTGATTCATATTCCTCATCCCCCAACACATCACGATGCGGCAATGCCACAGATAACGAGTTTCTCCTCAGAACTCCATACTTATTGCTCCCCACACCACCAACAGTAATGGAAGGATAAACATCAGAAAATAAACTGAGTCTTTCTTCATTACCATCATCAGAACCATGCGAGAGAGAGAGTTTTACTATGGGAAGTCCATGAGAGTGGTCATCATAACCACCGTCACTCATGTGCATGGCGGTTGTAGGCTGTGGCATGGAATAATAGGCCTGTCCATCATGTAAGGAACTCCGATGGACATTGGTGTCATTAAGAACAAAACTACGGGGCAGTTGTTCTGAAAGATTAAGTTCCTGAACAAAATTGAAGTGGCAATTCCCTGGTGCACGGCGCAATGTAAGAAGGCCTTCTATCCCTGGAGACACAAGCTTTCCATCCAAGTGTACTGTCGCCAGTTTTACCTGCAAATTTACCAACCACTCAGTTTACTAATGCATTAAAAAAAAATAAAGTAAAGCTATCCTTGTAACAGGCCGTGATGGCCCATAGGGATGTGAGATGTTGAGGGTCGCACATTATCTAGACAAAGTGCTCAAAGATGGCGGTAAGGTTGTCAGGCTTACATGCCAGCTGCGTTTTATTCCCCAGGAAAATTATTTAATTAATTTCTGGTACTCATTTCTGTTGGAGGCCAAGTCGACCCCAGGGCCATAGTGTGGCCAGAAGAATTAGGTCAATTGAAAAATCCAATGACTTCATCGGGACTTGAACCCTGTGACCTTCCGGCCTGTAGCATAGCCCCTCAACCAACTATACTACCATGTGCCCCCTTACTAATGCATTTACTTTATTTAAATTTTATGGCTTAATTAAAGACACTGTCATTAGATCAGACTACTCCTTACATAGCATCAGGTGGTAACATGACTGGAGAGCAAACTGGAAAGGATGTGTGAAGGATGTGACAAAGGTAAAGGTAAAGTTGCCCTCTGGCATGTACTGTCTTCACTCGCTTGGAAACTGGGATCGTGGGTTCAAATCCCACTGAGGGCATGGATGTTTAGTTTGTGTGTGTGCGTTTTTCTGTGTTTGTGTACAGGTAGAGGCCTTGCGACGAGCTGATCACCCACCCAAGGAGTCCTACCGAATGTGTAAGATCTAGAAAAACCGAAGTGAACGGAGAAGTTCATGGAGGTAGGCCTAGGCCCACTGGGGCTGTAGTGCCAAGGAAAAATAAAGTTGCTCTCTGCTTAATTAATTAAGCACCATGCCTGAAGACATGAGGGAGTTGACGTATAACTCCACCATTCTTGACCTTGGCACTAGATGTAGGCATGCGGTGAGCTTCACACTCTGGTCTAATATGAAGTACTGGTAGTTTCCCAGAGAGACTGTGGGAAACAGTGGCAAACCTCATCAAATGACCACATCCCCAAGCCAAGGTGTGAATCCCGAACTTCCCAAATATGAAGTAGGAATGGCTGTAATCATCACACTGATTTATACAGATTTGTAACAGATTTCCATCAACATTTGAAATGCAAGATAATGCAATTATGTGCTGTTAAAGATCACACATAAAACTGGGCATTTATTTTAAATTAAATAAACAGTGTGGTTTCATTTTGTGTTACTCTTCTTGTATCAAGCCACCTCCCTGTGAAGTTAAAAAAAAGGGTAAAGGTATCCCTGTAACAGGCCGTGGAGACCCATAGGGTTGTAAGATGTTGAGGCTCCCATATTTTCTATACAATCTGCTCAGAGATGTTGATGAGGCTGTCAGCCTTACACGCTGGCTGCCCTTTACTCCCCCCAGGAATATTCCTGGTACTCATTTCTGTGAGAGACTGAGTTGACCCCAGGGCCATAATGCGGCCGGAAGGATTAGGTAAATGGAAAAAGTCCACCTCATCAGGATTCAATCCCACGAACGCCTGGCTTGTAGCATAGTGCCTCAACCAACTATGCTACCGCATGCCCCCTTCCTCTGAAGCATAAATACAAATTACTCACAATATGCATAAATAGTGTTATGAGCTAATCTAATAGGAGCAGGGATAGCTCAGTCAGTATGGGATATGGGCTGAATGGCCAGGGTACAATTCCCAGCAGGGATAAGATTTTTCTCTTCTCCATAGCATTAATGTCATCTGCAGGGATGCCCAGCCTCCTATCGAATGGGTACCGGTGGTGATTTCCCCAGGGCTCAAAAAGCAGCAGAGGCATTACCACACACCTCCATCTAGTGCCGAGGTTAAGAATGGTGGAGCTATTACTGTAATCACTCTGTCTTCATGGTGTGGTGCTTAATTAAGCACAGGGGCAGATTTACATTTTTATATAATAATCTAATTTATGTAAATGATGGTCTTTCAGTGAAAATGCTTCACACTCCACTAATATGGACCCAACAAGACATGTTTCATAATGCTCTGTCTTATACTACATGCATTCCTTGATATCAGGAAAATACAATAAAGGGACTTCACTATATTACATTACTACAGCTACAATTCTGTAATGAGAATGGTGCACGTGAAATATTCTAGTAGTTTATTTATCAAGATATAAGGACCTTACACCACAGTAAGTGAGGTCTGCACTGCAGTTGTAGTTCCAGACTCTGAGAGCAGCAATATACACAATAACTGGGAAGCTGATGGTCAAAACAATCACATCACCATCCAGAAATGGTGTGCTCCACATGTGGTCTTCATCTGTGGTCACATTCACACCATCTAATATCCTAGAATGTACAGTCAATATAGCAAGTTAGCATGACGTGAAGAAATACAATTTTCTTAATACTTAACGCTTACTATAAAACAGTATTAGTCTGTCTAAAACAACTCTCTGGGTGCATAATATTTTGAGTAGGCAACATTATGCAAGGCATAGGTATGTCAGTTTTAGCTCCTGCTATATGATGAAAATGGAATACAGTTAATTCCTAACAATGATGTAATGACATACATCACTATTTCATGATGAGATACACCCAAATTTATTTTAGACATAGTTCAGAATGGATTTCTGTCTATGCAACATCATGCATGCAGGTCATGTGGAAATATATTGTAACGTGTTTCATTACTGAAGACGCCGTAGAGATGGTTAATTGGTTTATTTAACAATCTACAAATAACGGCTACAATTAATTATCACAATATTACGGGTTTCCACACTTTACAAACCCTACAACAAAATCTCTTAACACAATCTTCACTTGTCTTCACGTACTAATAACGCGGGAGCTATACAAGTCTCCCTGAATCACACACTACAGATATAACTGGTTATCCCGAACTATCACTGATTCTCGCACACGCGTCTGTAGCTCGTAACTTGCGAACTGAGAACTCGTTGATAACACACTTCGCGACTGTCACAGTACAACTGACTCGCAGCCGCTGTGCAGCTCACTTATATAGCTGCAGTGCTTGCTTGTTGCATAATGAGTGCCACGTCATCCTGTTACGTCACCGCTGTTGACTCGCATTGCATAGTTACCAGGTTGCGGGGGCTCGGCTATCTTCGGCTCCGCTCGTGACGTCACCGCGCGTTGCATAGCTACCAGGATG